CCCAAGGATCTGCAGGCAGTTTATGATTGCTGGGGGAGAGAGAGACACACATGCCACAGTGCATGTGTGCAGGTCAAAAGACAACTTTATAGGGGTTGGTTCTCTCCCTCTACTATGTGGATTCTAGAGATTGAACCCAGGCCATCAGGCTTAGCAGCAAGCATAGCATCTTTCCCCTATTAATCATCTCACTGGCCCTCAACTGCCTTAAAAATAAGAACTGGAGGGCCAGGAAGGTAGCTTAATTGGGAAAGTACATGCCACACAGTCATGAGGTCCTAGGTTTGATTCCTAGAATGCAGGTAAGAAGTCAGGCATGGTGGCATGCACTTGTAATCCTACCACTGGGGAGGCGGAAATAGGTGGATCCCTAGATCTTGTTGGCCAGCCAGTCTAGCCTATTTGAACATCCTGGGCCAGTGGGAGATCCTGTCTCCAGAAAGAGCACCCAGGTTGTCCTCTGGACTTCCCACACACGCACACATGTATATGCACCCACACACATACACAAATACACAAACACAAAAGATAAGAACGATATTGGAAATATAATTCAGTGGTAGAGTGTTTGTCTAGCATGCACAAGTCCCTGGATTTCACTCCAGGATAGAAAAACAAAAATAAGTAAATATGGGGTTGGAGCAATGGCTCAGTGGTTAAGAACACTGGTTCGAATCCCAGCACCCACATGGTAGCTACAACTGTCCGTAACTCCAGTTCCATGGGATCCAACAGCCTCTTCTGACCTCCGCAGGCATTGCACGACATGGGTGCACTTACCTACATGCAGGCAATACACATACATAAAATTAAAAATAAGAACTGATCATTAGAAAATGTCATGATCAGTCAAGATAAGCCAGAGTTGGAGAAGATATTTACAATATGTCACTGATAAGGTCATCTATGGGGCGGGAGCGATAGCTCAGTGGTTAAGAGCACTGACTGCTCTTGTAGAAGTCCTGGGTTCCAATCCCAACACCCACATAGTGGCTAACAACCATCTGTAACTCCAGTTCCAGGGGATCTGACACCCTCTTCTGACCTCTGCAGGCATTGCATGACACAGGTGCACTTACATACATATAGGCAATACACTCATACACAGAAAATAAAAATAATAAATAAAATATTTTTAAAAGACCGTGGGCCAAGCATGGTGGCACAGGCCTTTAATCCCAGCACTCAGGAGGCAGAGGCAGGCAGATCTCTGTGAGTTCAAGGCCAGCCTGGTCTACATAGTGAGTTCCAGGACAGCTGGGGCTACAGGGAGACCCTGTCTCAAGAAGACCAAAAAAAAAAAGAAAAAAAGACCATTAAAAGAATACCTATTGATTAATAAGATAAACAGCATATAAAAATGGGCAAGATTTGAATAGACTCTTTACAGGAGTCAAGATTAAAGTGGCTAATAAGTGTGAAAGTGTTCTGAATTTCAGTAAGTAAACACATGTAAAGTCATAGTTATACACCCACCACATTGGCAAAAATAAAGGCTCTGTTACTACCAAGTGCTGGCAAGGGAATACAGAGCCAAGGGAACTCTCTTTTAGTGCTTGTGGGCCTGTAAACAGAATGGTATTCTTGGAAAACAATTAAAGATCCTTAAACCCCTGAGAAACCATGCTCACATGCATCATGGGTAAGATGGCTGTTAGCTGCATTATCTGCCATTGCCCCAAACTGGAAACAATCAAATGTCTGTCACAGTGAAAGGTCTTCGAGCAGTGGTATAGTCATACAATGGAACTATTTCAGCAATGAATTTGAACAAACAAATTTAGCGTGGCAACGTAACTCTAACAGCGAGGAGCCAAAGTCAGATGCCAAACTTGCATCTGTTGCTACAAAATACAAGAAAAGGAAAATACTGAAATGGATGCAAAACAGAGCGGCTAAGGCTTTTCAGAAAAACAAGGACACAAGACTCACCAAAGCCAGGACTGAGGAGGGCGGTGCTGTAACAGGGCGGGCCTGTGGATGCTAGAGACTGCTCCTCAGAAGTTGCACAGATGCCCTTAACAATTTGTTACACTGCACATTTATAGTTTATTTACTTTTCTGTGTGTTTTATTACATAGGAAATGAAGAAAGGAGTTTTCTCATAGCAGCTCAGGGTGTGCCAGGGATGTACCTGAGGGCAGTGTAAGGGCAGCCGGAGGACACTCTGGAATGCCTGGGAAGGTTCCTGTAGAGCTCACAAAAGATATTAAGGTGAGTCAGAGGTCTGTTCAAAGTCTCTCAGACCTCCCTCCAGGAGAGACCAGAAAATAGCTAGATGGGGGGCTCACTACCTGTGTATACTTTATGGTGTGCTGTGACATTCCCAGGGGTCACTGCCCCTTCTCCTCCAAGCAAAGGAGGCATTCCCAGAGCCTCTAGAGTCAGGCAGCCTCATCCAGTTGGAAGGAACAGAACACTTGCAAGATGTGATGAGGAACCCAGTAAGGACCAGAGGTCTGATGCTCCCCTTTCCTAGTCCCAGGCATGGGTTTGGTTCAAGTCCTCGGTCTGCTCTGTAAGCCTTGATATTGTCTAGGCCATTCCTCTCCAGGGCCAGCAAGGCTCTCCAAAGCTTCTTCCCTGTTGTGCTTTTAGGGATAGAGCTCCAGTCTGGTGTCCAACCAGTAGGGGGCACTCCCAGTAACATGACCCAGAGTTGGAGGTTGGGTGGCACTTGGGAACAGCTTGTACTTGAAATAAGTCTCTAGTGTTCAAAAAACACCTATTGGAGCCGGGCGTGGTGGTACACACCTTTAGTCCCAGCATTCAGGAGGCAGAGGCAGGCAAATCTCGTAAAATTGAAGCTGGCTTAGTCTACATAGCAAGTGCCAAGCCAGATGGGGCTACAGGGAGATGCTGTCTCAAACAAAATAAAACAAAAAAACTCCTATTGGGATTGGGCTGGTGGGGCCGTGGGGCAGGGTTGTAGCTCAGTGGTAGAGCAAGACCCTGGTTCCATCCTTAGCACTGTAAATAATAAATAAATATGAAAACTTCTTATAATGATAAAAACCTAAACATAGAAACAAACCCAGAAGGCATGAAGGCTCACTACACTTTCAGATGAAGCACAGGAAACATGTTTATCCTCATCCTGGGCTTAGGGATGCTTTGAACAGTGCCTGGGGCCCTTTTCCTCAAGCCTTGCAACAGAAGCCATCTCTGACTACATCATGATGGTGGGAAGTCAAGGAACCCTCTCTGGGCCTCTTTCAGTAGAACAAAGGGAGTAAGCTTGTTCTCGGGCAGGGCCAGGGCACCCTGTTGGCCCATTTCATACACTGGGATCCAGAAGACGAAGCAACAAAGTAGATTAATTTGCTCCTGAGAGCTGTGGCCCCCGGGATGGGTGAGGGCACCCCCAGAGCCTGGGAGGCAGACAGAGCTGGTCAGACACCTGGAGTGATTAGTAGGGGCTTGGAGCAGTGTCAGGGAACCGGGTCTGGGGCACAGTCTGGGCTCAGAGCAGTAGAGCAGTGATGGGATTAGACGACAGTGAATGGCAAAGCTGGGACTTGAACTCCAGTCTCTCTGAGTCTTGGTTCTCTCACTTATAAAAAGGGACCAATAAAAGCTACTGCTCTACCACCTCAAATGCTGGAAGTATTTAACACACGGTAACCCCACTCCCCAACCACATGTTGTAAAGACCATGGCTAGGACCCTCCGATCAATGCCAGCACACACTCTTGCAAATGAAGCCCTGAGCCAGAGGCTATTCAAAGAGGTGGGCAGCTAGCTGTGCCAACCAACTCAGGGTTCGGAAAGTGAGACAAGGCAGAGTGAGCACTGGGTGGGTCTTGGACAGCCATGAGCCTCAGGTGTCTAGTCAGCCAGAAGGACTCATCATATGACTCTAGGCCACAGAACCCTGAAATCTTCCAGTCCAGGGGTCTTCAAGTACATGTTAGCCATGGAGCTAGCCCCCAAAGCAAGTGCCAAAAACAACTCTCATCCAGTCCTCTAATTACAGAAATGGACACTGTGGCCACAGCACCTCCCACCCTAGTCCCTGATTGAGGTCAGGGCAGACCGGGTTAATTCCAATTGTCATAACGCAAAATGTCTGGTTCTCCAGAGATTGTTCAGAACACCAAAAGCTCCATGTGCTCCAAACTTGACCAGAGCACACCTTCTTCCCTGTCAGGCTGAAGAGGAAACACCTGTAGAGACAGGTATAGTTTTGGTTCCTGGAAAGAGATGGCCACTGATACCCACAAGGCCTGTCATCCTACTGAACTCTATGATGCCTTGGCCACAGCCTCCCTCATCCACTAATGTAACTCACCTAGTAGACCATAGGCATCCAGAATACAGTAGGAACTAGGGTTCCCCACAGAGGGCCCTCTCACTGGGCAGTGGTCCTTGGCTACTGAGCAAGTGTAGAAACAGAAGATTCCAAGGTCTCTGCCAGCCCTCACCCCCAGGCATCCACAGCCTATTAGAATTCCATGCAGAAACTGAGCAAACCAATCAGAGGTGCACCTGAGCTGGGTATCACCCAAACAACCTGAGCACCTGGATGCTACCATGACCACCCACCCATTCCCCACTTTTCCCACTGTACTCTAGTCACATTTCCTCTAAGAAGTCTTCCTAGAACCCCTGCTGAGTTCTAAGCTCCCATGCCCAGCTGCCTGGGACACTGTGCTGCCAGCACCTTGCACTCACTGTCCTGACTCTAGACTGAACTTGGCCAGGCTGGATAGGGGCTGCCCACAGAGGACAACCAGCTCCAGCAACAGGCCAGGTACATAGGAGGCACTCAACAACTGTTAACTGGGGCTTTGAAGTTCTGAGCCTCAAACCAAGATTGACCCAGGTGGGTCCCGAGCTGTTACTTAGTTATGCATGCCAGTCAGTTCACTCGGCAGCCTGTGCCCTGAAAGACTAAAACCACCTGTTAGGGCTCCTGTGAGTAGCTTTCTACCTGACATTGGTAGGTGCTCAATAAAGCCTGCTGCCCCTCCCTGCCAATCAAACCCTGGCCACCAAAACAAAGGTCATCTTGATTTATTGAGACAACAGCTCCTCCTGGAGCCTGTGTCTTAGCATTCCTATGGGTCCTAGAACCAGCCTCAGGCCCCATCTGACTGCCCCAGCCCACTGCAGGGTGGGTGTGCTGTGGGGACCAGATTTCATGTCCTTAAAGCCCAGGCAGCACTTAGTCCTGGGCCCTGGATACTTGAGAGTTGGGGCATGGAGGGGCTGGATGGGCCAGGTCAGCTAGTCAGTCCTCTAGTGACTGCAGTCTGTTCCAGCCTGGGACTCAGCCTGCTGGTTGGTGAGGTCTGGTGGCAAGTCTGCTCCTCATTTCTTGTTCTGGCTCATCTTCCCATGTAGGCCGGTTTCCGTCAATGTGTTGGGGCTGTGGCCCTATGGCTGTGGCCCGGTGACTGTGGTCCCGTGGCTGCTTCCACTTTACAGTTGTGTGGGGCTGATGTCACCTAGGCCCAGTGTAGCCATATGGGTGCCGCAGCAGCAAGCTTTGGTGGCTGGGTAGTACATGGGTGTGATAGTGCTCTACCATGCTGCCCACACTTGCAAACAGGACCTCACCTTCCAGGTAGAACTTAGAGTCCTGCAGGGGTAGAAGATAGCAGACTCAGCAGGGCCTGACCAGCTGGCCGCTGGGAGGCCAGCGGGAACAATGGCACTGACAGTCCAGCTTGCTCCTGGCTGCCCATGCTCCCTCCCCCTCTGCCCACACAGCAGGACTACACTCTCCAAGCTCTCCTATCCTACCCCATCACTATCCCCAAGGGTCCAACATGAAGCCTGCACTCAGGGGTCTACAGGCAAGGAAGGTCTCTGAAACCAGGGAGTAGGGATGGCCACCCAGCCCCCTTTAGAGTCAGCTGAGGACAAAGCAAGGCTAGGAGAGGAGGAAGGCTGAGGCAGTAGGGGAGAGCCATGAGGGCAAGGGACAGACTAAGGATGATGTCATGGAGGGCCAGTCCAGTCCTCCCATTGCCACATCCTTTCAGGGAGACGCACCTGGCTCTTGCTAAGCCTGGAGCCCAGTGTTCCCACCCCACCCTCAGAGCAGGACCCAGTCCCTCACCTTCTCAAAGATTCGATAGTTCCTCACTTTGTTGGAGGATTCATCCCACACGACTAGGACCTATGGAGAGGGAAGTGTGAAGCAGGAGGTTCAAAGGAGGCTCCAGTGCCCAGAGAGGGCAGCAGCAATACTCAGACTGGGTGCTGTGGCTCTTGAGGGGAGAGGTGGGCCAGGGCTCTATCCCCTGCCCAGCTTGTCATGTGCAGGGACAGCCCCTCATCCCAGGGCTCCTTCTGCCCTTAGAGAGCCTCTGTGGAGACCTAAGTGGCAGGTGCCTGGTCCAGTTGGAACACCTCTAATGCAAGTGAAGTAGGTGAGGTCTTGCTATATGCTTAGAGGGATGCAGGAGTGACATTCACCCTCTATTTTGACTGCCTCCTATGGCCTCTGTACCACTCTGAACAATCCCATCTCAGCCCAAATTCTACACCATCTTGGCTCCCAATTGGCAGATGTCATTTAGTCCTGAGAACAGAGGGAGGGTGCTGCTGGGCAAGGAACCCCCAAGGACAGAATTCAGTTGAGGTGCCAAGCAAGGACAGAAGGTCCCAGTTGGTACAGCTGTCCTAATAGCACCCTACCTTCCCCGACTTGGTGGAGGAGTTCCGGATGCAGTACAGCCCATCCTGGGGCTCTCCACGGGAGCTTGTGGCTTTAAACAACCTAAAACAAAATAGCCATATGATGGGTGAATCTCCCTAAACAGCCTCATGGATATCTTCTAAACCCCACTTCATGGCTTGTCTCTGACTACTCACTTCTCTGGGTCTCTGGTTGTAAGAGCAAAGTATGAAGCCAGACTTATGGGAATAGAAAAGAGCTATCAGGTTTCCTGCTGTCCTCAAAGCCACATGCGTAAGCCTGGGATTGCCCAACATCAAAGTAAGGGGGATGGAGAAACAGGGGACCTTGAACTGTGTCCCAGCAAGAGAGAAGAGCTTTGCACTAACCTTTCCACTTCACAGGATTCTGTGGTGTTGACAAACACTGAGTTGGGCAGTGGCACCTGAAAGAGGCCAACAGTGGTTACTGTCAAAGTGTGAGTGACCTCTCCACATACCACCACTCCCCCAGCTGGCTGCCACCTGTACCAGACTACAGGGCTTTGCACAGTGTCCCACCTCCCTTGAAGCCCCAGAGGTATGAGGCTCCTTTCTCAGGATGGCTAATAAGGAGACCCTAGCCTACAGCTCTCCCATGCCTGCCCGCTTGCTGGTTAGGTGGGATCTGGGCTTGCTGCTTGGTCTTGCCTTCTCATAGTCCTCATCTGAGTCCTCCCCACCAGTGTCTGCCTGTGAGGGTTGCCGGGCCTTTTCACAGGAGAAGTTCCTGAAACTCTGTCCATCGGGGGGTGATCGCCTGGAGAGCAAGAAGGAAAGCAAGACCACATTACCTTCAGACATGGATGGTCATCCTCTCTTCCCCTCCACACTTGGCCCTTGTAGAACTTGCCCAGCTTAGCATCAGAATCCTGCTGTCAGCCTGCTCTGGCTCTCATGGCTATAACTCTCCAGGATGGCAGAGCTCTGAGACCCATGCTCACTGCCCCAGAGAGGCAGGAATTGTCTGAGAGCTGGAAGCCCAACTAGGAAATTATGCCAGCCATCGATTGGAACAGGGGTGCTAGGCTCTTGAGCTGAAGTGTTGTCATATAGTGGACACATGCATTGGACACTGCTGGGGCCCAAGCTCTACTATTGACTGGCTTTGGGACCCTGGCCAAGTCACAGACTTCTCAAAGCCATAGGCGAATAGACAATGGGAAGAAGCTAAACAATGCAAAGTGACCCCAAGGGACACCTGTGGTGACAACCCTGCCCGCCCCACAGGCAAGAGGTGGTTCTCTTCAGCCCAATCTCCAGGGCTTTGGGGGGAAATTAAAGGAGGCCATACATGGCTGAAAACATGAGGCCATGGAACTGGAGAGATCGCTCAACAGTTAAGAGCACTGGTTGCTCTTGCAGAGGACCTTGGTTCCCAGCACCCAGATGGTAGCTAATAACTGTCCCTAACTCCAGTTCCAGAGGAATCCAATGCCTTCTTCTGGCTGCCACAGGAATTGCATGTGCAATTACATCCATAAAGGCAAAACAGTCATACACATAAAATAAAAATAAACAACACCCATGAGGCCATGTCGGGATGGGCAAGACCGGCTATCACCTAGACTCCTCAGGGCAGGAGAGACTGCTCCCACTAGGCAGGCTGGGGTGAGGAAATCCTCCCACCCTGTATCTGATGCTTCCTCTCAGAATGTAAGGCTAGAGAACAGACTGGGTCCAGGAGGAGTCTCAGTGGCTGGGAGGCAGGGACATTGCCACAGCTAGACTCACTGGAGGTGGGGGAGTGGAGTCTTCTCTGGCCTGGACAGTACTGTGGGCCGAACTGTAGCCTCAGGCACAGGCATCTTCAGCACAGGAGGCCTGGGGGCCACAGAGGGCACAAAGAGTCCAGGCTTAGCTGCCTCCCTTGAAGGAGCTTCTTCAGCTATCTTCAGGAACTTGGGCTTGTTGACAGGCACAGGTGGGGGCTCAGATGTGGGCAGCCCTCGAGGGGACAGGTGGAAGGACTTGAGCTTATCACAGTTCCTAGAGGTGGCAATAGCCGTGGTAGTGGAGCCAGAGATGGAGCTGGTCCCATGCCCAGGGGTCCAGGGCTCAGGGCTGGGGCTGGCACTGTCTCGGAAGCAAGGGGGTTTCCGGAGGCTGGGCACAGTAGGTGCGTTGCCCAGTGGAGGGTCACTCATCCTCCGAGAGGGAACAGGTACCCTGAGGCAAGGCTCCCCCCGCCTCAGGCCCAGTGGGTCCTTCTTAGTGTCCTCAGGAGCCGGGCTAGCATCTTGAAGACCTCGCTTAGGGGGTGGGGGTGGCAGCAAGGGGCTTGGGCCCTTGGAGGTGAAGGAGTGGGCACGGGGCAAGTCAGAGAAAGTTGGCTTCCTGGGTGTGGGAACAGGGGGCGGTGGGTAGGCCGGTGGGTGGGTCAGGGCATCTGCAGAGTGAAAGAGTTGAAAGTTAGTGCCACATACTAGAGGTTGGACCACTATCACCCTCTGCTAGCCACAGGCAGCAAGAATGGACCCGGTGTGTAAACCTCTCACAGCCCCACCCTTGGCCTGTCAGCAGATTAGCTATGTAACTTTCATGACCCTACCTTTAGTCTGCCTAATGCTGACTATCCAGCCTCCATGAAGCCTTCCCTAGGCCCAAACCACCAGTGCCACCTCCTCCCCATTTATCCCCCTGAAGACAGTCCACACAAGCTTCCTATCACCTAGATGTCACAGGAGAAGCCATCAGACTCCCAGAGCTAGAAGTAGAGTGACAATCCCCAGGCCTCCACCTGAGCAAGGGTAAGGGTGAATTCTGAACAGAGGAATTGGGAGGAAGGTAAAGGCCTGTGCTTATGATAAGCTAAAGGTGACATAGACATCCAGTCCAAGTGCCATATGGACCATCAGGAGTGCAGGTCCAGGATCAGAGAAAATCATGGGAAACAAGTGACCCTGACAGGAAGCAGAGGGGATGAAAAGCAAGAAGGGCCAGAATGCCAGGCAACTGGAGGCATGAGACATAAGGCAGGCCATTGAGGAGTAGAGGCAGCTGTCAGCTAGATGCACCAGAGTTGCTGAGCACCATACTAGGGAACAGAGAGGCCACTGGGACCCTGGACAGAGGTTCTAAGGGGAGGGTGGTGGAGAAGATCTGATTGGAGTGGAGGTCCAGAGGGTGGGAGAGAGAGAGGTCAGGACTGGGGCTGCAGGGGCCACCCACGTTCTCAGCTGTAACTCAGGGACTGAGACTCTCATTCTTTGAAGTGGGGTGGTCACGTGACACCTAAGACAGGACATCAAAGGCAATGGTCTGGTAGCTGAGGAACTGCTGCAGCTGACCCAGAGGAAGGGAACAACGGCACCAGTGCCTGTGACTGAGGGGAAGCAGGGCGAGAGGAGGACATGGGGTCGGCAGTGGTGGCGTCACTGGAGGATGGAAGGTCACCCTCAAGACTAATGAAAAGACAAGGCATGAGTGGTCAGAGATGGGGAAGCAAGGAGTGTTCAAGGAGTAGAGGGTGAAGGACAGAGGACAGGACAGAGGCCCGCCCTTCCTACCCATCCCTGCCCTTTCCTGCCACTCACACCTACGACTGTACCAGCCCATCTGCTCTACCAACTGTGTGCTTCAGGCAGTGGGGTATGCATTGGGGTCACAGCCAACAGCCTAGCCTATAGCTGTGCGCCACAGAGAATTAACAGCCACAGGGAATGGATCAGGCCCAAAAAAACCCATCTCTCAATGTCCCTCCTTCTTCACGTTCAGTCCCTAGAGCCACCCTGGCTCCACCTGTCCCCTGACCTCCATCCATATGAGGTTAGCCTGGGAAACAGGAGCAGGTGACCAGAGCCAGTCCTGAACCTCAGAATAACTGGATCCAAAGAAACTGAGGTCACCCCAGAGCAGGACCCCAAGCCATACCTCCCCACCCAGCCTAGAAGAGGCTCTGTTCCTGGTCCCAGTCCGTCCCCCTCCCTACCCACCAAAAAACCCTCAGGACCAGCCACCCCACCTACCCTCAGGCTTCATGGGCCCCGGGGAGTCAGGCTCCAAGTACGAGTCATCCTCATCTTCGTGTTCATAGTCTACATGTAGTGAATGGAAGATGAGACCCAATGTGGCCCAGGCCCAGCTGCATGCAGCACAGGGTGACATGGCCCACTATGTTTGGCACTACTCTACTCACAGGAAGAAGGCATCCAGAAGGTGTGTGGGTGAGGATGAGGAGGCAGAATTTGAAACCTAAACCCAGGCTACTAGAGGCCAGACCCAGGGGGAGCCACATCATGCTGCCAGAGGAGAGGGCAGGAAGCCAAGCTAAACATGCATTCCTCTCCTCCCAGGCAGTCCAAGCGGGATTACTGTCAGCAGCCAGGTAGATGGGTGACAGGTGCAGAGACAGGTCTTACCTTCATTGTCTGTGGGGTATGGAGATAGACTGATGTCTACAGGCCGTTCAACTGCACCATAGAAGCTGTCCGTGTCTGAGCTACAGTCGCTGAAACCCAGAGCAGGGGGCAGGGGACAAGTAATGAGAACCAGACTAGGTGGTCCCTTGCACTCACATGTAGGGACATGTGTACACACGGGAACATTCCCAGTAAAAACCACAGAGGTGTGCGTGCACATGGAGCCACACACACACAATGTATATAGACTCAAGGACACAAAGCTCATAGACAGAGAGACACATGGACATGCACATACATGCAGTTTAAAGTCAGATATAGGGACTAGAGGATGTGGGGACCTCTGTGGGTTCCACCTCCTTGCCCTGCTGTGAGCCTTGCAACCCTGACTGGCCAAATACCTTAGGGCTGGGCCCATGTGTTTACCTCCTGCCCAAGGAGGCTCAGTCAACTCTGAGCTGAGCTGCTCTGGACACCAGACTGGATTGAAAGTCAAGAGTTTTGGAGTCAGCCCAGGACCTCAGCACAGCTCTGGGAGTGCCCAGCCCTCTCTGGATCTGTTTCTTTGACTATGAAAGGATTTATGGTCCCCTAGAGAGCCCCTGCTGCTTGCTGGGCCACCTCACAGGTGAGGATGCTGAGACCAGAAGTGACTCAGCTGTTTCCCTGGGAGATTCAAGCTGCTTCTACCTGAAGAGACAAAGTGTGCGTCAGGAAGTTGGGAACCCAAAGCTCTGAGATGTGGTAAATCCTTCCCAGTAGCGGAGGGGAAAAGCTTGAAGGAGCCCCAAATAGGAGTTACAAAAAAGTACAACAGAGTAAGACACAGTGAGAGAGAGCTGTGGAAGACAGACAGGAACAGCGAGACAGGCACATGCACACATGTCCATGTTTATGTAAGCAGTATGTGCTCCTGCACACATGCAGCCCCTCCAGAGAAACCCTCAGGATGGTAATTATAGGGCAAGCCCTGAGGGACTCCAAGCCAAGGAGCCTAGGGACTGGCCACTACCCATCACGTCCCTTGGCATACCTGGTGTCCAGGGGCAGCTCCTTCTTCTCATGGAAGTGACCAATCTCCCTGCGTAGTAAGGCCATCCAGCTCTGTGGATTAGTCATAACCATAGTGGGCACAGTGCAACCCAGAACAGGGTCCCACTTCACCCTCCTCCCATCACTACCTGGCTGCTGTGCAGTGGCCACCAAGGTCAGGGAAAAGGAGCCTGGCTGGGTCCAGCCCAGGCTTATGGCTCAGATATGAACTGGCCCTCCTAGGGCTGTAGCTGCCCCTCAGCCCACACAGGGCTCCACCCCGCTGGTGCATTCTCACAGTATGTACAGGTACCAGGTGATCCAAATCCACCTGGTTGTCCATGACCCAGCCATGTATGTCTCCTTAGAGCCTGCACAGGACAATGTCAGCCTTCTGCCTAGCTACTGAGGGCCTGTGATCTGCTGATCACCTTGCGCTCATCCTCAGAGGAGGCAGAGAAGAACCACGTGCGATGTTTCTTGCTGATATGAATGATCTTGAAGGGGAAGACATTGTTGGATGTTGTCTCCTCAGCCGCCCGCATCACTCTGAGGGCACAGTGCCAAAAATCACCAGTTAATCCACACTCAGGGAATAGGCTCATCAGCTCTACCCCTAAATTGGTTTCAGCACCCAGCATCATGCCCTGGGGAACATGGGCAGATCTGGACAGCTCCTAATTGATCATGCTCTGGGTAGAATGCCTGAATGCTTCAAAAAGACAGCAGAGGGTGGGCATAGGGAGAGAGCAGGCAGGAAGGACCAGGTCCTTAAGGGCTTTCCAGAGGAGTGGTGTGCAGCGTTCGAAGACAAGGTTCCATCATTCCCACTGCCCCATCAATGTCATTTCATACAGACACCACTCTGCACCTCTGTCCCATGTGGTCCCTGGCCTGCCTCTATGCTCTCTGGTCTGCTCCCCAAGCCAGGATGCAGGGCTTGCTCAGATCTCAGTCTACCTGGAGGAGCCCTGCTGGCTGGGCCCCTGGGCATGGTGCCTACGTGGCCCATCATAGGTCTGGCCAGAGCCTGTCAGGCCCAGCTGCCCAGATGGATTGGACAATCCTTGGGACACAGATATATCTTCCAGGGGGCTGAGTTCATGTCTTAGCTGGCCATCAGTTTGAGGACAGAAAATGACTCTCTAGGTAGAGAGCTTTAGTTGGCCAGTGCCTACAGGCAGCCCACAGGGACCATCAAGGCCCCTTCCTGCCTCAGCCAGTGCCTAGGGCTGTACTAGGGACCTGGCCTGGCTACTCTGGCAAGGCTGGCCCAGGGTAGAATCAGGGACCCAAAGCAATTCTAAGCTCTTGAATCCTAGTCCTGACTCTAAAACCAGTGACCCTGGGTTCCTCCTGAAATAGGGAAGAGGGGCCTGGACTATTATGGAGTGGTGAAAGTCTCAGACTGATCCCTACAGGGCATAGGGCTAGGGTGCTTCATGCCCCCCACAAGGCAACAAGGTGGACCCAGGATGGCCCACAGACCAGCATGTGAGTTAGTTTAGAGTATACCTCCCATTAGCCTCAAAAGCAAGCTCATGATTGCTGGCTGGCTGGAGCTCAATCCATGGTGAAAATGAAGCAGGGGACCAAACCCCAGCCTGCAAAGAACCTAGAGCCAAAGAATCCAAGCAGAGCCCAAGCTTAGGATGACTTGGGCTGGGTGGGCTGTGATGAATGAAGGCAGGAGCAGAGGACAAAGAATACATAAAATACTACTCAATAGGAACTCTGTAGAGCAGGCTGTCCAGGCCCTTGGGAACTGCCCCTGAAGCCCCAGGAAGCCCCTAGTAAGGCTCACCCCACACACATCCTCCTGTCCCAGCTCTCAGCAAAGGTAAAGGTGGGCAGAATGAGGTGAGGGCTGGGATGCAGACGAAGGCCATCTCAAAAGAGATGGGGTTTTGCTCGGTAGGAACAAGGGCTGGGCTCTGAGGTGTAGGCTGGGAATGGGCTCACATGGATCAGCAGGCAGGGCAGGTACTCACCGGTTATAGCCGCTCAATGAGAAGGCACCTTGCGGGGAGGCAGATGTGCTGCTTTTGAAGTAGTAGATGCAGCGCTTGTGGATGACCACAAAGCGTAGGGGCCCTGGGGACAGCACAGCACAGGGAGGTAAGCCACACAGAACCACCAGTCAGCCCCATTCTAGGGCCCTCCCCAGAGGCCCTTGGCAACTTGGGGCCAGGCCTGCCTTTGAGACTCCAGAAGGGTAGAGCAAGAAGCTAGGCCAGCCTGCTGCCCCTCCTAGGGTTCGCTGTGGGGCCAAATGCAGACAAATTGATTGGCTTACTGGCTAGCCTCAGGGCATCACCCCAGGGAAGGCCTGGCTACCTACAGAAAAGGGATCGATTTGGACCTTGAGGGACCATAAAGAAGGGAGAAGCCAGGGCCAGAGACCCATGGGGGACACCATGGCCTTGTCGGGTGCTGTAGGACCTTTCAGAACAAGGAAAGTAGATCTGGCTGATGAAAGCCACAGGGGTAGAGCTGTCCTCAACTGGACAGTTGCAATGAGACTGTCCCAAGCTGTACAGCCTATGCACAGAGAAGCCCCTCCTTAGACCTGGGGGAAGGTTAGTTATGCCCTCTTTAGAGGCTGCCTGTGCAAACACAGTATAATCAATGAGTACATCGGAACCCAACAGTCTAGCCTATGGCATCTCAGCCAGGCAGCACAGGGCCGGGACATTCCTGGCAGAGAGCACTGCAGGGGCAAAAGCACAGAGTGTCCATGGCTGAGGAGCACGTTAGGCAAAGCTCTGCTCTTTGGTTTCAGTGTCTTGAATCTTGCTCAACTGGCTCCTGACTTGATACATGGGTTGATTCTGTGCCACATGACCAATCAACTCACTGACACTCACAAGGAAAGGGAAGCAGTAAAGGGCCAGACCTACCAGACCACCCTGAGGCCCTCCAGCCTTGGCTGAAGGCTAAATGGCCAGCCAGTCAGCACGGTATACCAAATGTCCATTATCTCCTATCTCTTTGCCTAACTGTGTCACCTGGACCCTGTGATAGAGTCTAGGCTAGGGAAACTGGCACCAGGTCCACCAGGAGTGCCAGCCACCAGAGACTGCAGGGAAACCCCAGAGGACCCAGCAGAGCAGTGGGGAAGTAGGACCACGTCCTCCCTTTACAGTCTCTATGGTCCAGTGACTCACATTTAAGCAGCTGCAGTTGGGTGCCGCCCTTCTTGTGCAGGTAGCCAGCCTTGGCCACACCCCCAGGCATGGTCAGCAAATTTTGGGCACCGATGGCCTTCATGGGGACAGGCCAGTGCATTTCCTCAGCCGCCATGAAGCTGAAATCAAAGCAAAATGCACACTCAGCAAAGGGTCAGGACAGGTCAGCAGCTTGGCATGGGGACTGGGGGAGCAGTGCCAAGATCCAGGAGGTTAGTGTGGAGGACCAAGGCAGGGAAGGGTGAGAAAACCCCTTTCTAAAGACCCCAGGCATCTGGGTGAGTCCCTGGATGGACAGCACTGTATGGTCCACTTGTCAGTTCCTGGTCCTCTCAGACTCACACCTGACCCCCAGCATGCTGAGCACTGTCCACTGGAGCTCTGGACCCATGAATCCATTGGGCTCATCACCCCATAAAGACTGGGACAGTGATGAATGAACTCAGAAAAGCCTAGCCTGGGTAAGTCAGCAGGCCATCGCCACCCTCAGGTTCCAACACTATGTGAACTCACAAGGGGCCTGCCCCAGGTAGGCCAGGGAGAGCTACCTAAAGCAGGTGGCACTGGAGTCACAACCTGACAGCAGCTGCAGCGCTGGGGCAGACCCTGGGCACCTTCTCCACCAGCTCTGACCCTCAGTGGAGAAGTAAGGATGTCCACCCCTAACTCAACAACTGTTCATCCCTTTCTTGAAGCCTTGGGACTACAGAAAGCCAAGAACCTCCACTTCCCAAATCCAATGTCCTGGGCTTCCACCTGGCTTGGCTTTCTGGAAGGTCCCCTGCCTCAGTTGTTAGAGCTTTAAAATGGGAGGAGAGAGTGGATGCAGCACACCCTTGTCACCAGTGCCATGAGGGTATTGGGACCAAGAGGCCCCTTTCCTATGAGGCCCTTCAGTGGCAAGGTCAGAGGGCTGCCAGTCCACAGTGGACAAGCCAGGGTCCAGTCCAGAGGGGCAGGCTGCTGGGGCTCCTGCCACTACCTTGTCAACCACCAAACACACACACAGAAAATCACTCTCCCACTAAGGTGGCCCAAGCCGGTCATCCCAGCATGTGTTGGGCTTGACGCAGGGGACTCCAAAGCTCCAGAAAAAAATCAAAAAGAGGAAATCCATCACAGTTTTGGCAACTAGCACACTCACCCCATCGAAAGCGAGTTAGGGAATTGTTTTCAGACTGCCTGAAGCCGGCCTTTGCAGGCGTCTGTTGGCTAGCTCCCCGCGCCCCCACCTGCTCCACGGCACCCAAAGCCAGAGGGGCAGGGGCAAGGTTGGAGAGGTTTGGAACAATGGCGCAGCCACACCCCCTGCATCGGACTACAGGAATAGGGCGGTCAGGCCCCGGTACCGGGGTGCAAGGAGGGGGCACCCCGACCCACACCACCCAGAGAGAGGGGCTCGGAGCCCCCGACCCGCTCGCCGCCGCTGGCCCACGCCCGCCTTTGTTCGGGTGGATGCCCGCCCTGCGCCTGGGACTCCCGGGACTTGCGGGCCCAGGTCGTGGTGCAGAGGCGGGGTCTGCGGACTCCGGGTCTGAGGTCCATCCGGGGCTCGAAGCCAGGGCCCGGGTCCCGGGTCCCCGATCGATACTCACGGCATCCACGCGGCGGGGACGGCCGGCTTCCGGGGGACAGCCAGCGCCCGCCTCCCCTGTGCGCAGCGGCACTGCCCGGGCCCGCCCGCGGCTGCCTCGTCCCCCGGGTTCGGCTCCCGCCAGCCCCAGCTCCGCGGCCGGGACCCCGCGCCCGCCATGCCCGCCGCACCCCAGGCCCCGCCGGCCGCCGGCTCCTCCCCTCGCGGGCGGGGCGGGGAAGGGCCCCGGACCAGGTGGAAATCAGCCCGCCCCCGCACCGCGCGTCACCCTACAGGCCCCACCCCCTCCGGGCCTCAGTTTCCCCACTGACTCCACTGAAAGTGGTGGGCTCCCGAGACAGGAAACTAGCGCCCAGACATCCCAGAATCAGGAGCCACCCATGCAAACGAGTAGGGACCATTTCACACCCCAACACCCGAGGATCCCAGAGGTCGGGCCTTACTGATGCAGTGCCCTTGGGCACTCTGTAAAACGGCGCTGCCCCTCCTCTGCTGGCAACCCGGATGATACCATCTCACTCCATGGGTCTCCCTCCAGAATTCCCACCTGCTTGGACTGTGTGGACACACCTCTCCCAGGAGTCTCCCTGGGTGGCCAAGGTTGGGGAAGGCATGTGCTGGCCTACTAGGTATCCTGTCTCTCCATCTCCCACCAGCTGTACAGGCTGCCGCCTGTGACAGAGGGCAAGACACTGGCCCTTCAGTGGCATCTCTAATAGTTCGGCCTCAGGCCCATCTAACTGTCCACATGAGGCACTCCTTCCTGGTTTCTAAGCAACCACTCTGGCCAACCCTCCAGGCCCCTTCCACTGCACCCAGCCTCAGAGCATACACATTAGCCTTGGAGACCCCGCAGCCTCCTTCCACCAAGGCCCTGGCTGCCTTTACCCTTGCCACCGTACCCAGAATAGACTGCCTCCTTCCAGCCACCTTGCTGATCTTCCTGTCTATCCACTGCCTCTGGAAAGCCAGCACCTCTTCCCTTCTCAAGTGTCCCCTCTGCCTGCACCAAGTTCCCTCCATCACCCTCCAGCCAACACACCATTCCCATCACTTGTCTATTCTATGGACACAGCCCTGCCTTTTGTGTGTGTGTGTGAGGAAGTTGAAACGGGGTCTCACTCTGTAGCCCAGGCTGTCCTCAACTTGTGAGCCTCCTGCCCCGTATTACTATGGTACACCACCACACCCGGCAACACTCAAGCCCCTCCTGATTCAGCCCTACCCACAACCCTGACCTTTCTCATGTGCGGTCCTCTGCCCTCCCCCTTCTGTACTGGTGTGTGCAGACCCCAGTAACCCAAACCCATAAGCACTCATCCTAGTCCTTGCTGTTTGCACTGCTTCAGTGGCAACTAAATGAACTTAACCACTAAGCAATGGGTTACACAAACACGGACCCAGCAAACTTTTCCAGAAAGCAGAATATTCAGAATAATATTCAGAAAATTATTCAGTCAGCATCACCCTGATACCCATACCAGACAAAGCCATCACAGGACATAAAAACCACTGAATAATACTTTTCTAACGTTTTTGTTTTGTTTGGGGTTGGGTTTTTAAAAATATTTTATTATTATTTTTTAATGTGTATGCGTGTACTGCCTGCATGTAAATAAGTGCACCTGTGTCGTGCAATGCCCTCAGAGGATAGAAGAGGCTGTCTGATACCCTGGAACTGGAGTTAGGACAGTTGTTAGCTGCCATGTGGGTGCTGGGATTCAAACTCAGGTCTTCTGCAAGAACAACCAGTGTTCTTAACCGCTGAACCATTTCTCCAGCCTCAGCAGTTAACAACTGTCCGTAACTCCAGTTCCAGGGGATCCGACAGCTTCTTCTGTTCTCTGCGGGCATTGCATGACACGGGGGCACTTACCTACATGCAAGCAATACCCGCATACACATAAAATAAAAATAATAAGTAAAATATATTTAAAAACCTTTTTATTTGATTTTATACATATGAGTGCGTTGCCTGCATGTGTGTAAATACACCTGTGCTGTGCAATGCCCATGGAGGACAGAAGAGGGTGTCAGATCCCCTCGAACTGGATTTACAGACGGTTGTTAGCTGCCATGTAGGTGCTGTGATTTGAACCCAGGTCTTCTGCAAGAACAGCCAGTGGTCTTAGCTGCTGAGCTATCTCTCCAGCCCCTTGTTTGGGATTGTTTGTGGCAGGATCTCATGTAAATCAAGTTGGCCTCCAACTAACTGTGTAGCCAAGGATGACCTTGAACTTCTGATCTTCTTGCCTCTTGGATGACAGGCATGCATCTCCATGGCTGGTGCATGCAGTTCTGAGGACTGAACCTAGGGCTTTGTGCATGCTAAGCAAGCACTCTACCAACTGAGCTGCACCCCCAGCCCAAAATACCCTTTTGGGTATAGGCATAAACATTCTCAACAAGATGCTAGCAAACTGAATCCAAAACCAGGTAAAAAGATTTTACAACTAACTTGATTAAGTGGGATTTATCCCAGCAATTCAAGGTTGGTTTAATATTCAAATTCAATTAATATAATACACCATATCAATGAAGAACAAAAGCCACATGATCAATTAATAGACGCAGAAAAAGCATTTGATGAACTCCAACAGTCCCTTCAGAAGAACAACACTCGACAAACTGGAACAGAAGGGAACTTCCTAAATCTGATAAAGAGCATCTAAGAAGGGGGCTGGAGAGGTGGCTCAGAGCTTAAGAGCACTGGCTGCTCTTGCACAGGTCCAGGGTTCAATTCCCAATACCCACATGGCGGCGAATGACTGTCCATAACTTCAGTTCCAGGAGAATCCAACACCCTCTTCTGACCTCTGCAGGCATTGCACAACAGCATCGCACTTACATTCAGGCAATACACTCATACACATAAAATTAAAAGTAAATAATTTTTTTTAAAAAAAGAGCATCTAAGCTGTGTGTGGTGGCGCACGCCTTTAATCCCAGCACTCGGGAGGCAGAGGCAGGCAGATCTCTGTGAGTTCAAGGCCAGCCTGGTCTACATAGTGAGTTCCAGGACAGCTGGGGCTACAGGGAGACCCTGTCTCAAAAAGACAAAAAAAAAAAAGAGCATCTAAGAAAAACCTAGTTAACATACTTGGAGGTGAAAGGCTGAATGTTGTCCCTCTAAGGACAGGAGTAAGGGCAAGAATGTCTGCTCTTACTGCTGCTTTTCAGCATCACACTGGAAGTTGTGGCTAAGGGAACTAGAAAATCAAGAGAAATTTCCAGATTGGAAAGAATAAAGTAACATTATTCAGAGTAGATGACTTTTTTTTTTTTTTTTGGTCTTTTTGAGACAGTCTCCCTGTAGCCCCAGCTGTCCTGGAACTCACTATGTAGACCAGGCTGGCCTTGAGCTCACAGAGATCCGCCTGCCTCTGCCTCCCAGTGCTGGGATTAAAGGCGTGCGCCACCATGCCTGGCAAGATGACTTTTATGTAGCAAAAATTGCAAGGAATGCACTAAGAAATTATTAGGACCCATAAACGAGCTTTACAATGTGGCAAGATGTGAGGTGAACGTATAAAACTCAACTGCGTTTTGATACATGTTCTAGTAACAGCCAGTTCCTGAATCTAAAGAGTTCAAGTATTCCCTCTTCCAAGCAGTCTCCCATACCCACTAGATGGTCCTATGTCCCCCTATGTCCCCAATGGGGGGCTAGCAGCACAGCCTTCTCTCCACCTGACTCTGGCCATAGTAACTTATTGTCCCGCCATCCTTAGCTTTTAGCTTTCAGGCTCAGCACAGAGTGAACACCCAGGGTGCCCCCAGAGAGGATAGAATGTTGCTCCTAGGCTGGAGAGATGGCTCAGTGGTTAAGACCATGTACTGCTCTTACAGAAGATCTAAGTTTGGTTCCCAGCACCCATATCTAGCAGCTCACATCCACTGTAACTGCAGCTCTGGGGGGATAGGACACCTCTGACCTCCACAGACACTTGTACTTATAAACACACACACACACACACACACACACACACACACACACCTCTGACCTCCATAGGCACCTACACTTACAAACACACACACACACCCACACACACACCTCTCACCCACATACCCACCCACACACACACACACACACACACACCTCTGACCTCCATAGGCACCTGCACTTACAAACACACACACACACCCACACACACACCTCTGACCTCCATAGGCACCTGCACTTACAAACACACACACACACACATACACACACACACACCTCTGACCTCCATAGGCACCTGCACTTACAAACACATACACACACACACTCACATATACACCTCTGACCTCCATAGGCACCTGCACTTACAAACACACACACACACACATACACACACACACGCCTCTGACCTCCATAGGCACCTGCACTTACAAACACACACATACACACACACACTCACACACCTCTGACCTCCATAGGCACCTGCACTTACAAACACATACACACACACACTCACATATACACCTCTGACCTCCATAGGCACCTGCACTTACAAACACATACACACACACACTCACATATACACCTCTGACCTCCATAGGCACCTGCACTTACAAACACATACACACACACACTCACATATACACCTCTGACCTCCATAGGCACCTGCACTTACAAACACACACACACAAATAAAAATAAATACTATTTTAAAAAGGAATGCTGCTCCTGGTAGGTGATTGAATGGAGATTGTTGAAGAAAGCTGAAACAGAGCCCTGCCCTGGCATATCACACCCTGCCCGAGCTGTAGGGAGACCCGGCATGTATGTCTGGAACTGCTGCGGGGAGACACAGCCTCTCTCCTTTTGGCTGTGCCTCGGCTAGGGTGTGCGTACAAGAGTAGGGCAGGCTACGGTCCTCCCTCGTTTCAGCCTTGTAGCCAGTAGAGACAGGCCTGGCTACCATGGGCAGAATGAAGGCTCCTAGGTGGCTCTGACTGACCTTGGCAAGGAGGGGAGTCACGACAACTAAGTGATGTTCCACCTTCACCTCTCCTGGGAATGTCCTGGCTTCAGAGATAGAACTGACACCACAGCCCCTCTCCAGAGGATATACCCTGCCTAACACCATATGCATAGGCCGGGTGGCCCCTGCTCAGGAGCCCAGTGCCAGACTAGGCACTTGAGGGTGAAGTTGATAGCTGTGATAACCACAAAGCTCTGCAGGAACCTTTAGCCCAGTTTGTAGGCTCCAGCTCCACCTG